ACGAACAGTATAACTTTTACTAACCGATATATAAAATGTGAATATACATGTCGCCATGACACATTTCAGGAACATTCTTAGAACCTAAAACAATAACAGAGAATAAACATGCCACAATACTCTGGAATGTGCAAATTTGGACTGATAAAACAATCGGTGCTTGCAAGCCTTATACCGTATGATTAAGGAGGAAAACGGAAATTAAAAGTGAACAGCTGACGTGTGTTAGAAGTTAAATAATAGCAGTTTAAGTCTGCCAGCCTTGTCTTTACTTCTTCATGAACATGTCTCGAGTTTCTTAATCTTCTCATATTACTAGAAATTGAATTCCGATTTAACGAACTGATTATCTTTTATTAGAAATTTAATCTCATGTATAGTATATATGCGCTGCTGTTTTTCGTTCATTATGAAATCTGAGGTCGCCAGTGAAGGACCTGAAGAATGCATCGGTGTAATTCAGTTGAGGAATTTATAGTTCAGAAAATATTTCAAATCATTCTTAATCCAGACATATGCCTAAGATCAATAGCAAGTTGCAGATGTTTTGTTTCATGATTATTATAAATGTTCCACTCGGTGCAGCAAATGATACCGCTATGTGTTAGAGCAGAATATTATTTCCTTAAGTCTTATCCCTAGAACTGATTTCATTTGACAACATAAGAAGTAGGACCAAACTGAATTTGCATGTAGATAAGTCTACAGTTAGCTTGCGTAAATCACAAACCTTTAGTGTATTCATTTTAACTTCTATGGAAGCAGATTATTTGCATTTTTTTGGTTTGTTTGTTTTTAACAAGGAATGCAGTAGGTTAAAGAAATTCAGCTATTTCTATACTAATCTTTAATCTTCATACCAATGATTGCAAATATCATTTTTCCCGGGATAGTCCCTCAGTTTTGTGTAGCCTTCGATGTGATCGCCGTCCTTTCTGTGCCTGAAAAACCAGTGTGAGCAAACCGGACTATCAGATACATCTGATAAGGACCATCACAAGGCTTTTCCGTAATCCAGGTCTGACATACTCCTCATCCCCGATAGCGGTAGCGATAGCCGGCATAGTAAGGATAGGTGTGAGGGTAACCGTAATACCCTCTGTAGTAGTGAGGGTATCCGTAATAACTGTAATGAGGTTCAGCTTCGGCTTCAGGGTCGGCTGATCTCTTGTGGTGCTTGTGGTAGGTGTAAGGGTAACCATAATGATGGCTGTAACCGTAGCCATAGTAGGGATAGCGATAACCATGGTGGTAGCCGTAGCGAGGATAGCCATGGTGCACTACTTTGTAACTATAGCTCTTGGAAGGATCAGGGTCAGCTGTTGGTGTAGGGTCAGCTGCTGCTTCAGGATTAGCTTCCGGCATGGGGTCAGCTGAACGTTTTTTGAGACCGTGAACTCGCGGAGCCACGAAAGAAGTGCCACCACCTGGATGCTTGGCCACTCCATCGCCCTTCAGAGGCTTGACATGATGGCGATAGTAATAGTGAGGATAGTAATAGTAAGGAGAACGGAAGTAGTGTGGTTCGGGATCGGCGTGTGCAACCACAGCCGCTGCCAAACACACCAGTACAGCTACCTGCAATAAGAGAGTTGGTTCGTAGATCTGATAACTTTTGTTTCTGCTCATACAAAAGTCGTTCCTAGGAAAACACTACATAATAGCAATGCTATATTGAGGATATTTTTTATCAAAATATTACATTATGTTTATTAGATTTATATATCTATTAGCTTTACAAGACTTGTATGCGTGTGTTTATATATAATTAATTTACATACAGATGTATGTATATGCATATGTGTGTTTACATATGTGTGAATAAATATTTGTATGTACACACACTAACACCCACACACTATATAGATTCATTTGAAATTTATATATTAATATATATATTCACATATATGCATATCTTACCTCAAAAATAAATGCATATATCTATTGATCTATCGGTACATACATATACATACGTACATGCATACACATCTAAATATACACGTAGTGATGTTTATACGTATATATATGTATTTATATATAAATATGTATGTTTACATCCAAAGGTATAATATACAAATATTTACATTTATATAAATATGTGTATATATATGCGTATTTCTGTATGTGTACACACATATTCATATATATATATATATATATATATATATATATATATATATATTGTGTATGTATGTATTCATCTAAAGGTACTGCTATATGACTTACCGCGAACTTCATGGCTGGTCCTATCGTAGGCTCACTGAGGACGGGCCGTCTCTGCGGATTGCTTGTCAAGCCTCCTTATATATGGAAGCCAGGCATGGCCTTGAATGGGCGTGGCTTCCTCGCCTATTTTTCTCAACAGGCCTAGGCACTTGCAGTAGCGTGCATGGAGAGATGGATCAACCGATAAGGAGATATTGATATATGTCCAGTTGCAATTAAATATATTCACTTATGAATGGACACGCACATATATGCATGTAAATTTATATGTACATGTAAATTTATATGTTTATATATACACGTGTGTGCGCATACATGCGCGCGCGCGTGTGTATGCACACATGTTTGTATATATACATATCTACATATGTGTGTGTATGTGAATACGTGTATGTGTGTGGATGGATAGATAAACATACTGAGTGAATGTGTATATATATATGCATATCATATGTATATATGTATTACATGTTTATATAAGCATACATTTATATAGATACCTCTTTTCAGCAATGACTCCCTAGATATACTAAAGCCCTTTCTGTGCCAATTTTTCTTTGTCCTCCCCCCAACTACCCTACATGAATCTATCTTTTTAGTAGATGTGTGTTGTGCGATATATTATATGGTACTAGTAAAGTTATATTCTATGTAGAATGTAGTATTATATAGTCAATGGTAATATTTATATAAATGATATGAAGCTCCTTAATTAGACATATACTATATGCAATCCCTGTAGCATCCTTAGATACTGCCTATGGCACCCCGGGATGTCCCGTGACCTAGAGTGGGAGCGAATGGTTTCCACACTCAGCATGTGATATTCTCTGGACCTGTTTGATTTATAATAGTGGTTCGTAAACCCATAATTGTAACTCGCATTAAGTCAAGGATTGTTCCTTCTCGTTTAGAATTATTGCCTAATTTTGCAATCTGGTTATATGAATATTTCATCGAGCTATTTTGAAAAAAAAAAACATAGAAATAATATTTCCAAAGGGGAAATGTCTGTTAAGAAACCCTTCGATAATGCACAATGCACTTACTGTTAAATGCTGCTAGATTAGTTAGATAAATGGCCGATTCATAATCCCATAATGTTATATTCTTCACATATTCTGCATTCCATAATTGAGATTCATATAAAAGAAATCATAGAACAATAATGGGAATGCATAATTTAGATCCTTGCAAGAAGAATTCAAGCACAAAAGTATGTTCCGTACATTAACACTTTAACGAGTATTAAGTGCTTACAATTTTAACATAGAATATTTCAATATCTCTCCTTTTCTACTAGCTTTACAGATTCTGAAATTTCCTGTACCACCTCTGAGTGGCAACACCGTACTTATAGTAAACAGATTATTTATGAATTAATGGCTTTTGACGAGTGTGATTGGTGGAAATTGCACGGTTATGGCTAATTGCTGTTTCTCTCCCTCTCTCTTCATCTCTGTATTTTATCTCTCTCTCTTCTGTTTATAGTAAACAGAATATTTATGAGTGAATGTTTTTAACGTGTGATTGGTAGGCATTGTATTGATTAATGTTTCTTTCTCTTTCTATATATACACATCTCTCTCTGTCTTCTAGTAAAAGGATGGAGAATAATATCAACATGTGTGGAAAGATACATATTCATTGATAGTATGAGTGATTGTTTGAAATTGATATATCAGTTCACGAACAAAATTACTAATTTACTGACCGGTGCACATAAATACACGTCACCGTGACATTTTTCAGGATCATTTAGAAGTGAACAGATGTATGTTAGAAATTACATAATAGCAGTTTAAAAGTCTGCCAACCTGCTTTGTGCTGCTTCATGAACATGTTTCGAGTTTCTTAATATTCTGCCATTATGGTTTTATTCCTAGAACTTGAGTTTTGTGCTAACGGAGTATTAATATCATTTTAATCTTATAGTATATATACTCTATGCCCTTTTTTCCTTTACTTTTAACTGTGAGATAAGTACTTTTTGAGCTGGCCAACCTTGAAACTCATTCATTCATGAATTTTATTTACCACTACTGGTTGACACTTAATAGGTCAGTTTATCAAAGGGAGTAAAAAACTTTGGCCATCACTAAAGCGTAGGTGGCTCTGCTGTACTAATTGTACGTATCAAATCTGACATACACTTGGGTACCATTTTTTGTTCCATATCACTGCAGATGTAAGGTCGCCACTGAAGGACTTGAAAAACTCATCAGTATAGTTCAGTTACCGTATTCCTAGTTCCGACGTTATTTAAAATCATAGCTTTTAGCCCAGACATATGCATGAGATTTGTAACAAGTTGCAAAAAGCTTTGTATTAAGAACATTGAGAACATCCGGATTTCACTCGTTGCAGCAAAGGATACCGCTAAAATATGTTAGAACAATTATAGGTCCTGAAATTTTATCTCTAGAATTGGTCTTATTTGCAAACTATTTAGTTCGTTCATTTACCTTCTTTGAGAGATTATTAATAAAAGTATGAATCTTATATAAATGTTAAGACTTTATAGTTGTTTTTTTTCATGAAAAACAGGAATGTAGTAGGTTGAAGAAATTCAATCATTTCTACACTAATCTTTAATTTTCATACTAATGATTGCAAATACCATTTTTCCTGGGATAGTCCCTCAGTTTTGTGTAGCCTTCGAAGTGATCGCCGTCCTTCCTGTGCCTAAAAAACCGGTGTGAGCAAACCGGACTATCAGACATCTGGTAAAGGACCATCACCACAAGGCTTGCCGTAATCCAAGTCTGACATACTCATCCCCGGTAGCGGTAGCGATAGCCGGCATAGTAAGGATAGGTGTGAGGATAGCCGTAATACCCTCTGTAGTAGTGAGGGTATCCGTAATAACTGTAATGAGGTTCAGCTTCGGCTTCAGGGTCGGCTGATCTCTTGTGGTGCTTGTGGTAGGTGTAAGGGTAACCATAGTGATGGCTGTAACCGTAGCCATAGTAGGGGTAGCGATAACCATGGTGGTAGCCGTAGTGAGGATAGCCATGGTGGACTACCTGGTAGCTATAGCTCTTGGAGGGATCAGGGTCAGCTGTTGGTTCAGGATTAGCTTCGGGCATGGGGTCAGGTTCGGGATCGGCGTGCGCAATCACAGCCGCTGCCAAACACACCAGTACAGCTACCTGTAATAAGAGAGTTTGTTCACTGACTTGTGCTCATGATAAAAACTCAATAATTGCAATGTTTTATTACAGACAATATTATCAAAATAGTGCATTATATTTCTCAGATTTATTTATATTTGCATTACATTCATCATATTTATAAGACATGTTTAAAGAGATATCCTAAGCATTACCTTTATTGTTAATCAGACTCTTATCAATCTTAATGGCTTACTTATATACATTTATGTTCGTATCTGTATTTGCATATGCAGTATATGTGTGAATAAACCTCTTTTCTTTATATATGTGTGTGTATTCCTTGGGCATGCAATCCGTAAAAACACATTAGAAACTTTAGCCTAAGTGAAATAGAAGGCAAGCAAACTCGAAGTGATATATATATATGTATATATATGTATGTATTTATATATGCAATAAATTTATGGGTGACTATATATATAATGCACGTATATGTGAGTATATATATATATAAAATGCACGTATATATGTGAGTATATATATCATATATGTACATAATGTACGTATATATATTATGTACGTGTATATATTATGTACGTATATATAATGTACGTATATATATATAATGTACATATATATGATATGATATATATAAACATATATATATATATAAGGTCTATACATACATCTGTCGATCTATCTATGTGTGTGCGTGCATACGCATATACTGTATATATGTGTGTGTTCATATAAATGTACTGTTATATGACTTACCGCGAACTTCATGGCTGGTCCTGTCGTAGGCTCACTGAGGACGGGTCGTCTCTGCGGATTGCTTGTCAAGCCTCCTTATATATGGAAGCCAGGCATGGCCTTCAGGGGGCGTGGCTTCCTCGCCGATTTTTTTTTTTTCTCAACAGGTCTAAACACATGAATAGATAGATCGGCCGATAGATACTAATATATATCCAGATGCAATTATATTTATGCACATATGAGTACATTCGCACATAAATGCATGTGTGTGTGTCCATGTACAAGTGTACAAGTATACATGTATATCTATCTATATATATATATATATATATTTGTATATATATGAATATATATATACACACATATATATAGATATATGAATATATATACACACATATATATAGATAGATGTGTGTGTGTGTGGATGGGAGTGTGGGTGTGAATGGATATGTATAATAACTACACATATAAAGATAATGGATAAATGTGTAGTATACATGTATATATATAAGTACATATACACATACATCTAAGTAAAAATAGATAGATACATATATAACATACATGTGTATGGGTATATATGTATATATGTGTGTGCGTGTACACATATATAGACGCACACACACACACACACACACACACACACACACACACACATATATATATATATATATACATATATGAACACGTGTGTGTGTGTGTGTGTGTGCGCATATATATGTATATGTATATATACACTCATATGCATATATATATACATATACATACAGATATATATACACATGTAAGCAATAAATATATCCTTTTCACTATATCCTAATAACAATCTCAGACAAATGAACAAAAGAAGGAAAGTCAATGCAAAGCAAAAGAGGAAAGAGCCCGGCCTTGACTCCGAATGGGCCCAGGGAGCGTGATGATAACGCTGCCAATGTCCACGAATTATTTACTGTGTAGTTTGATTATACTTGATGCCGTTGTTATATATAATGCACATGATAGGAAAAAAAAGTTACACAGAAACACGGGAAACAGTAATCGATTTAGATTGTGTAATTTTATTGAGAAGATTGATATGCATTATTGCTATCTGTTCTGTTTATGTTTTCATGAAAAGTAAAGAGTTCCTGAAATAGTCATTATCGTTATAATCATCATTATGATGATGGTGATGATGTTGAATTATGGTAATGATGATGATGATTATGATGTTGATGGTGATGATGAGGATGAGAGTGTTAGGGTGAGGATGATGAGGATGAGGATTATCATTACCATTATTGCTATTATCATTATTTTTATTATCATTATCACTACTATTACTATCATTATCAGCAGCAGCAGCATCGTCATCATCATCATTATCATCAGTATTATTATAAATAATCATTATCATCATTATTATTATCATTATTACTATCACAATCATCATTGTAATAATAATAATCATCATTATTATATTATCATTATTATTAATATCATTATCATTATTATTGCCCGTACCATCATCAGCAACAGCATCATAATTGCTATTATTATCATCATTGTCATTATCAGAACCACAGGAAATAGTACCATTCCTCCCACACTGAAGATAAAGGAGGTTTCGCCGCAGTCACATCGAGGTAGCGAAACATACAGGCGCCAAAACCTTTTATAAGGGCTTGATCAACAAAAGACATTGAGGCGCATGTGTAAAATGCAGAACCCAAAACAAAAATGAAACAAAATTATACTAGTCTTTGCGATAAAAGTGTAAGAGGCCGAGATATAATGCTTGAACTCTTTGCAGACTCGGATGCCAGTAATCGGAAAGTCAGCGCCATCATAAACAGTGGATTAGCTGTTCGATTGAACTTGCTGGAGGAGTCTGCAAAGATGCACGAGATACTCTTAAGACAGGTAAGATGTTTGCTACAAATGCTAATAATGCAGGCGCAGTCTTTAGGCATCTTGATCGTACCTCGGAATCTGTGTGTGTGTGTGTGTGTGTGTGTGTATTCATATATATATATATATATATATATATATATATATATATATATATATATATATATATATATTCATATATATATATTCATATATATTTATATATATATATATATTCATATATATATACATATATATATATATATATATATATATATATATATATATATATATATTCATATATATTTATATATATATATATATATTCATATATATATATATATATATATATATATATATATATATATATATATATATATATAAATAATTCTTATATGTATGTGAGAGGGAGAAGGAAAATGTTAGTGAAAAAGGACACCAATAGATGTAATGATAACTAGAAGATCTGACTATATTCTCCATACGTGCGGCATCCCATGCCATGTTGCTGATCACGAACTCATGATGACGGTTAATATAAAGAAATCAGAGCGACAATAGGTTATAAGAAATAAAACTTTTCATGACATTGTTATGACCCTCAGTCACTCTGTCAACAGATTCTAGCGAAAAAAATTATTCTTCTAAGGATTTTCCAGACAGGTTAGGTATCCTCACCGGAGTGATTAGAATTACTATCGATGCCATCGTTTTTTTTTTGTTATTGTTTTTTGTTACAAATATTATTAGACGTCTTCCTCCTCTATGGAAAAAAAACTCATTATTACTGACGATTACAAAAAAAGAGATTTGGCATGGAACAATCAAGTTCATTATGTACTAAGGAATAAGTGTCAAATTAGTAATACAATGTGATCAAATCTAATTATTTCAAAAACAGATTAACTGACTGGAAAAAAAAAACGGAGAATAGTAAAAACATTATTGCCAGGATACTAATTTTAGCATCAATTCTGAAATCAACACGGAAGATTTTAACAAATTCTATAAAATACAGGTAGACCAAGGCCCATAACCAATACTTTTAGACCACACCCAGTCATTTTTTTTTCTTTTTTTTTGTGCCGTATCAGAGCCTGACGTTGGCGACCATGTTTAATTCCATGGTTGTACAAAGGAGTGTACGAAGGTGGTTTCCCGTTGCCTTCCTTCGTCAAAATAAAGACAGTAAAACACTAGTGTGACCAGATGGCATTGTTTGTAGCTTAATTAGAGACAGTCTACCTGTAATCGCATGTTGTCTCACTGTCATTAACAACACATCTGTAATCACAGGTCACCTCCCATTGCTTTGGAAATATGTGATTGTAACACCAGAATTCGAATAAGGTTAAATGAAGTTAATAATCTTCGTTCTGCTCCCATACCCCCCCCCCCCATACTGTTTAAAGCGAAAATTGCAGGAGACCATTTCGACGTTACTAGAGACCTCTGATCCACTAGCCAAAACACAACAGTCGTTAAGTCAGGTCACAAATAAAATTTATGACAATATAGATAACGACTGAATAAACATACCTTTTTTGATTTATCAAAGACTTTCGATTGTAGCAACCGCGAAATCCTTCGTAGCTTAATAACACAATAATGATATTATTATCATTATTACTATTGTTGTTATAATCATCATTATTATTATCATCATTATTATTATCATACCATA